CTTTAAGGCCCCTCCCAACCCAACCCATTTTAGGATTCTGTGACACAAAGAGCAGCATCAGGACCCTGTGCAAGGTGCGTGGACTGACAGCAATCCACTGATCCTCCAAGGGGAGAGGCCCTAATCTCACATTGGGCAGAGATCCCAGAGGCACAAAGTCAGCAGCAGGATCCTACAAATGCAGGACAACTTCTGCAGGCTGTGGATGAAAAGACACTGGAGCTCCCTGTGCCTTGTTCTGCACCACTGAGAGCTCTGGTACATCCATTGTAGGCATTGACACCTCCAGCTCCAGCACTGTCAAACCTGGCAGATAAAAGGGGGAAAGAGTTGATATTGCATCTGACATCTCGAAAATAAAAAGCATTAGACTTCTTTCAAATTAGTTGTTAGCATGAATTAGTTTTTGGCAGTGGTAAGGACAGAGGGAAGGGCTGGCTGGAGAGGATCCGATCAGCTGAGCTCCTGGAGAGGAGGGACAGGGAAAACCTGCCCTGCTCACCTGTCAGAGGCTGTGCAGGGGCTGATCAAAGCTTTTGATTGCTCCTGAGCCAGAGTCTGTGCCGCTGTGTTGGCATAAACCACTACAGAACAACATTCTCCAGGTAAATACCCTGCCCAGTGTGTTTGGTGTCCTCACAGCACAGATCTGGTGGTGTACTTGGAGACTTGCATTTTTATCTTCATTTTGACCCACAAAGCAATCAGGGAATCGGGTAGAAAACAACAGAAGGTCCTGCTTGGTTAGTTTGGGTGGTAGTAACAGTGTCCTCACATCTCTGTGGAGTTGTGTGTAAGTTTCACTCTTTAAAAAGCAGTTTGAGTCCCAAAGAAGGAATAGGAGGTGTTGCAGCAGTTGGTGTTTAGGATGGGATCTTCTTGGACTGCACTCAGTCCCCTCATCCCCTCTGCCACATTTTTTGTTTATTTGTTTTTGTTTTATTTTTCCTTCTTTTTTTTTCCCGAGGCTGAGAAATTCCTGGTCAGATTGTTTCTAAACTGTATTTTCATTTGCTTTGTGTTACATTTTGATCGTTGGGGATTAGTTGGGGGTTTTATGTCTAGGGATGGAAAAGAAGGAAAAAAAGACTTAACACAGATTGTCCCCTGTGCTGGGCATGGCCAGGGCACCTCCAGCCCCGGGGGCACCGCTGGGACCCTCCGGACAAGGAGGACCCGGAGGGGCTGGAGCGTGTGCAGGGAAGGGAAGGGAGCTGGGAAGGGGCTGGAGCAGCAGGAGAGCTGAGGGAGCTGGGGGGGCTCAGCCTGGAGAAAAGGAGGCTCAGGGGGGACCTTCTGGCTCTGCAACTCCCTGACAGGAGTGGGGAGCTGGAGGGGGTCAGACTCTGCTTCCAGGGAACAAGGGACAGAAGGAGAGGGAACGGCCTTGAGTTCAGGTTGGATATTAGGGAAGATTCCTTCCTGGAAAGAGTGGTCAGGCACTGGCACAGGTTGCCCAGGGCAGTGGTGGAGTCCCCATCCCTGGAGCTGTTAAATAGGTGTGGATGTGGCCTTTAGGGACATGGTTTAGTGGTGGCCTTGGCAGTGCTGGGGAAGGGTTGGACTCGAAGATCTTGAAGGGCTTTTCCAACCTTAAGGATTCTGTGATTCTTGAAAGCAAAGACTGTCTCAGGCTGCTGGCTGGGTGTTGTGCCACTACAATAATAACTGTTTAAAAAAATAATATAGTAAGTTCTAATGTTTTTGTTCAAAAAGAAAGAGGAAAAAGGCGCTCTGAAAAGTTATTTCTAAATGTCTCATTAAAATGCGTCATCAGCAGAACTCCACAGCCCCAGTTTATTGTTACTCTGGGCAAACAACACTGGGGAGAGCATCTGGTGGCACAAATTGTTATAGCCCATGGAAATGGGTGGAACTAGGAAAAATTTGCAGAGCCCATGGTGTGCCTGTAGCCATGGCCTGCCTTCCATCTGGGATGATTTCGGGCCCTTCACTGCACTGGAGATGCTTTAAAGGCTTCTGGTGAACCCACTCGAAGTTGTTTCTCGCTTTTGCCTGATTTTGGAGGATTTATTGGCCCTCTCTGCAGTTCATGCTTTCCTTGACAGCCAGCTCAGAGGAGGATTTTGGCAATCCTCTGTGTGTGGCTGGGGTTTGGACACGCAGGGTTTAGTGTTGGGTTGATGTTTCTCTTTGCTTGTTTTTTGCTGCAGCACTTGGGGAGCTCACTTAATAAATAGTAGTAGACTCTGACTGACATAATAATGACTGAGGAACTGGTACTTCCTTAACAGTAGTAAGCTACTACTGTGAGAGATAGCATTGAAAACTTAGTTGGATCCTTGTTGAAGGTTTTTCCATTTCGATCTTGTCGTCTTTATCTCCACGTCAATCACTCCGTGTGATAACATGTCCCATTCTTATCTTTGGGGATGAATCATTGAATACACTCATTTTATATTGATTTTTCTTGTTCCCTGGCAGGCTCCTTACCCCTCAGGACAGAATGCAGCTCCAACCACGTTGGTGTACCCTCAAGCCCCTCAAACAATGAACACCCAGCCTCAGACCCGCTCGCCGGTAAGGAGCCCACAGCAGCGTTTCCTCCTGTTCTTTCTTCCTCATTGGTGTGTTTCTCTGTCTGTGTGTGTCTGTAGCACATGGCTGGTTCTCTGAAAAGCCCATTTTACTGACCTGGAAGCACATTCCGAATGGCAAACCTTGCCTGAGTTTTTCAGACACTGTCCTGGTAGAGTAATTTTCCTTCTAAAGTGGCTAAAGAAGCAATGGAGGGATTCTCATCTACTTCAAATAACATAATTTATTTTTAGCCAAGTTGCTTTCAGGTTCACTTCCTTGTAGAGTTCAGGTTCATTCTCAGAATCTTTCTCTTTTCTTCTTTTTTTTTTCTTTTTATTTTTTCTTTAGGGAAGTGTTTTGTGCAGGGATAGACCAGAGATCAAACACCAGCGGTTCTCTGCAGCAGCACTCAGTGTCCAGTGGCTCTGGGCATTGCTCCCAAATCAGTGCTACTGATCAGGTCTAACCCTGGAGGTTCTCACATGTGACCTAGAGCTTCTGTGTACTCAGATCTTTTTGTGCTGAGCCCCTTTTTCATCCACCTTTAGGTCTGATTGTCCTCCACAGTCTATTTTTTTGAGGTGTGTGTTTATTGTGATACCGCTCTGCTGTTGTAGGACTTTGGTTCCCCAAGCCAGGCTCTTTTTGGGAAATCTCTGCTCATAGTACAGCTCCACATAATGTTAGGAGACCCTCCTAGGGCAGCAGAGGCTTAGCCCAGCTTCTGGAGGCGTGGTGGCTTCCCATCACCACGTCCCGAGCCTCCGGCAGTGGAGGGAGCACAATCCCGTGTCCTGTGTCGTGACACCTTCGGGTCACTGCCCCCTGTTCCCTCCCCAGCATTCTTCTCTTCCTAGAGTAAGGCAAATGCTGCTGAAGCAAAGTGAAAGCCTCCAAGACAGAGTAGTTTGTCCACAAAACAGGTATAAATAGTTGTACACGGGGCAAGAACCCCTGGTGTGCAGCCACACCAATGTGCTGGCCCCGCTCCTGGAGGTTCCCCACCAGGACAGTCAGTCCAGGAGGGTTTGTTCTGAGGCCCACGAACCTCTGTGCTGATAAATGAGCCAATTAACACCAATTTTAGAGTTCTGTGGTGTGGACAGCTGGGAATTTGTCCTTAGTGCCCCATTCTGATCAGTAATGCAGGACACAGCTGGTAAAACCTCTTTCCTCAGTAAGTATAATCACCTTTTTTCTTTAATTGTTGCAAAGCACAGCTAAATTGGTGTGGTTAGAACTGGAGCAAAAACCTGACTGAAGAGCTGCATCTCTAAACCAGTTTTTTTGACAGCCCAGCAGAACAGTGCCAATACATTGCACAGACAACTGGAAGAGGAGGAAGGTTTTGGAACAGAGTCCGGTTTACAGGTCCCTGGCTGGAAGAGGCTGGATAAAATACTGCATTGTAAGCAATATAACAAACTGTACTCCTTCTTGCAGGCAATTGTGCCCATGGCACCGTTTTTATTTCTTCCTTTCTTTCTTTATTTTTATTTTTTACCACATCTTTTTGTTGGCTACAGAAATGCACTGATTTTGCTTCTTTGCTGAGAGCACGAGCTGCCGTGGCAGCCTCTGCCAGGTGAGGTGGTGACAAAGGTCCCAAGGTGACACAAGGGCCCAAACTGAGTTACAGCTGGGGGGTCTGACCTGAGGTAGGACAGAGAGCAGGGCCCCTTGGGGTTTGTAACTCCACAGAGAGCACCTGGAGGAAATTCGGCCAGAAAACACCAAATTGTAGGGGTTTGGCCCCGTTCCTGAGCAGATCTCGAGGAAGGATTTTTGTCTGCAGCCATCAGGCATTTTTTTCTATTTTTTTGAGCTCTCCTGTGTGCAGGTTTTGCCATCTGCTCTGCTGTGACCATCTCCACCTCATGACTAAAAGCTGCTCCCACCCATCACATCTCATTCCACCTCCCACCCCAAAGCAAATGCAAGACTGGCCCAGGCCTGAGCTACTCCTGCATTTTGTTCTAGGCTTAATTTATTTATTTTTTTTTAATTTAATTATTATTATATTTTTATTTCTTTTTTAACCATCCTTTTTGGTGGTGAGGGCAGGGTGAGGAGGGGACGAGGAGGGTGGTTTTGCCATCCCTGGGCTCCCACAGCACAGCCCCGTGTGGGCCAGGATTGATCCCAGCCCCACTTCCTGGAGGGACTGGAGCTTCCTCCATCCCGTCCTGCATCTGAGGGCTGTTGGAATTGCAGAGCTCAGGCTTTGCTGCTCCTCCCAGGACAGCAGCCTTTGCAATCCAACTGGCTTCATGGTTGCTCCCCACTCGCATCGCTCCCAGTAGCGGGAATGGCAAAGTGCAGCTCCAGCTGGGGAAGGAAAACGAAATCCAGGTCCTTCAGCACTGCTGAAAGTTATCCCTGCTCTCCTGGCCATTCCAGCCCTGAGCACCAGGGGATGTAAACACAAACTGTCCAGTTCTAGGAGTTCTGCCCAAAAAAAGACGTGCTGGAGAGGGTGTTTGAGCGATCCAGGAGGGGTGTGAGGTGTGGGCCGGCACCCCCAGGGAGAGAACATTCCCTGTGCCCACAGAGGACTGTAGGGAATGAGGGCACAGGAAGGTTGGACCCAGGATTTGTAAAGTTCTCCTGTCTACTGTCTTCATCAAACAGAGAAAAAATGACCCCAAGTGTGAATTTTAATCGGAGCCAGCAGTGACTACAGTTTGTTCTGTTGCTTACAGCTACTAATAGGAATAATTCCTGTCAACCTGAATTATTTAAATAAAAAATCAAGAGCCAGTGGTGACCAGTGCAAAATAGATGAGGCATTTTTCACTAACTTGGAGCTTTTATTTAATTTCTTTATTTTTTTCTTATAACACATTACTTTCCACCACAGAGTATATTCCAGCTTCTTCATATATAAACTTCCAGCTCCTGCCTTAAGCACAGTGAGAACAAATCTTCTCTGTGGAACAGGGATGGGAGAGGTGCTTTGGCCCTGAAGCGAAGCAGCACAAGGTTTTTGCACCCCATCATTCTCTTTTTGGGTAGTTTTTTTTCACTGGTGTGTAGCACAGAGTGTGTCACCCCATGGAAAGGCTCACCCCTCCCAGGGGTCCTTGAGTCCCTTGTCCCAAGACATTTGAGCTGGTCTGGGGGAGTTCTTCAGGGAAATAGGGGCTTGAAGTGCTTTTACCTCCTGAGACTCATCCAGGTGCCTGTTTCTCCTCATCCACAGAGCCACTGTCCTCTTCCCACCTGGAGCCTCAGGAGGATTCGGGGAGGCTCTGAGTCCTTCTCTTTTATTAAAATTAAAATTTAGCTTTTTAGTCTTACGAGGTGACCAGGCTTTGCTTTTTTATTCTTTAATCTAAAGCTTAGGGAAAATTTTCCAGGGTGAAAAAACTATTTGGTGAACCAGTGCAGGTCATTCTTTATAAACCCTCATGCCAGAAACGTGTGTGCGAATTCGCTCCTTTCTGAAGGGTTTTATGACTCTCCATCCAGGAGTCACCGTGAGGTGAAGGCAGAAGGAATATATAAACACCAGTATAGCAGTTCTTGGAAATCTTAGATCTAGGCAATTAAAGTGTTTATAAAGGAAAAAAATCAGCTGGGCCAGTGGATATTTATACTTTGCTTCATGTTCGATGGCATTAAAATAGATGGAAGGGCTGTGTGTGAACCCTGGCCCACTTTTCCTTACAGAAAAACCCTCTTATTAAGAAAACAAATAATTAGTAGCCAGTTTTGATCACTGTTCCCAGGCAGAAGTGAAACCACAGTGAGTCCCTGAGTGAGCAGAGATGGGCTGTACCATGTGTCTTAAGTCACTGAGCCATCACAGTAGAGGCACGTGGTGGGGAAAGTCCACTCTGGATCACTAGTTTTGATTGTTCCAGTAATTATTGGAGCTCTTATCAATAGGTTTTCCTGCTCTTATCATGCTCATTGCACTGAGAATTAAAGGTTTCAACACCTAACTCAGCTCTGAAAGAAGACACCTTGTCATCTTTATTTATATTTTCCATTTCTTGCATTCATTTTTATTTCTATTTTAACAATCAGTTCCTTATTGGGAAATGCTTTGAATGTTGACTGAGCATGTTCAACTGGGATTATTTTCCTCCGTGTTTAACCCAAGTGAGTGGGAAGTGACTCAGTAGCCTGAGCTCAGGGCTGGGAACCAGGACCTCCTGTTCTCCATCCAGGCTCCACTGCTGATGTCCTTCAGTGGGGACACCATGGGATAACCTGGTCCTTGTCTTTCAGAGGGGGTGGCAAATCCCACTCGTTAAGGAGGGGGTTGTTGTGATCCTGATGGAGAAAAACAAGCTGGAAATGAAGGAAAAGGGGGTGAATGTGCAAGGAATCACTACTCTTTGCCCTGCAGGGATGTCCCACAGCCCCTGGCTGGCAGGTCACTACCTGTGCCTGGCTCTTCCCTGCTCTCCAGCCATGAGTGTCCATCCTCAATCCCACAAATACCCGGGGCTGAGTCCAGCTGCTTTAACCATTTCCCTCCCCTCTAAGCAGTTTCCAAACCTCCACTGCTGCTTGTTTTAAGTTGTTTTTCTTTTGGTTTCGTGTTCTTTCCTCAGGCAGGGTAAGGAATGCCTGCATCCCTGCACTAGAGTGGCTGTAGGATCCCGGGAGCTGCTCCCCCCAGCTCCCAGCAGTGCCCATGTCCATCTGACACCTCGGTCCCTCCCTGTCTGTCGCTGTCCTGCAGCAAAGCTTTTGAGTGTGTCGTTGTTATTTTATTTTCTGTGGGTTTATTTTGCATAGACTGTGACATTTTGGTTCGTTGTGGTGTTTCTGACTCTTTGTGCCTTTCCTTTTGTGTTTGTTTCTCCCGCCTTTCCTCAGTTTGCAGCGGGGCCTCGACCTGCCCATCACCAGGTACAGTACCTGCCCCTTCGTTATCACCCTGCACTAATTGCCTGGGGGGTTTGGGGGTGGAGGTGACTCACCTACTAACTCAGAGTGGAGGAAACCACCCCTTAGTAGCTACTAGCACCTGCATAACCCTCTAACGAGCTGCCTGCAACGCTGAGTAACACAACTCACAAGTGGGGTCACTGCTCCCATGAACCACCCCCTTCTACAGGGAAGGAGAACCTGTAGGGATCCTTGCCAGCTATTGGGGAGATTATTTTTTCACCTTCTCACATCACTAGAAACTTTTTCTGGATATTTCCCAAACTGATCAGTGGATTAAGTTGCCTGAAGATGTCAACTGAGAAAATCCTGCTTTTCCAACTGGGAGCAGAGCAAACCACTTCCCAGTTGCCACGTTTGCTGTGTGATACACCTGGTTATCTGTTACCATTGCACTGCTTAATGTCATTATTACTTGGCCCATGAAAGCCAGACATGTAGGAATCTTTTAGTATTCCTGTTGCATGACTTGGACTTTGTAAAGAACCACTCCATTAATAAGAGTAAGGATTGGGAATAGCTCTGGCACCTGAAGCTCAGGGGTGGCAGAATTACCCTGTGGACCTCTCTGGTGTCAGGACAGACACACAGGTCCCTCTGTCCTAGTCAGGGTGTCTAAAATTATCTTTTCTATGAGCTCCCCCGTTCATCTTTGCCAAAACTCTTTCCCCTGGGAAGTGATGTTGCTGCTTCTTGTAGCTTTGGAGGGGACAGAGGTGGTACTGTTGGGTGGGAAAGAGGAACAGAAGCGTGACAAGAGCAGGAAAGCTCTCCCAGATTGGGTTGTTTCCATGACATTCTTGGCTTGGAAGGAGCAGGTTGTTTCCACTGAGTTAACAGGAAAAAAAATCCTGTTAACTCCAGTGGTGTCAGGGCAGGGGCTCGAGCCAAGGAAGGTTTGTTCCAGGAGGGTCATTTTGTTCTTACTTTGCTCCTGTTACTGAGCAGTTAAATGTAGGGATGAGCTCTGTGGGGATAGTTGTGTCTCAGGCAAGCAGGTAAGTGTTAGGTGGGCACAGACACCCGAAAAACATCCTCATCCTTGTTCCTTCCACCTCAGGGAGCAGCGTGGGGGCCGTGGGAGCCATCCAGAGCAGGCCAAAAAAGGGCTGAAAGAGTAAAACGGGACATTTGCACTTGTTTGCTCACAGGCAAAGCTCATGGGAGAGAGAAAGGAGTGATTTCTGTGCGTGGCTGGGATGGCTTGGCCAGGAGTGCTGGAGGAATGTTTGCAGGACAGCTGGGACACGAGGGGAATGCCAGGATTAGGGTCTTGTTTAGATACTTCTGTTCTTGATCTTAGCTTCAGGTCTGTGTTTACTGAAAATCCTTCACTGCTCTGAAACTCCTCAGTTCTTTCATAGGTCATTACTAAGGCACTGGATATATTCAGTGTGAGCCAGTTAATATTCCCCTAAAATGTCCTGAGCTCACTGAGAGCAGGTTTTGACCCAGGAGTCTGGAGGCAGCACAGCCTTGGACAAAATACTTCAGCAGCCCAGTGGCTTTACTGGTGGGACTCTGCCACCAGTCTGTCAGAATTTGATCTAAAACTTACCTTTGAACCCCGTTCTGACTCTGCCTGCAGGTTAAAACTTGTAATTTCCGAGTGTTTTCCCAATTTTATCACAGATTTTTGACTCTGTTACATTTGAATCTGCTTATAATTATCTCTGAGAAGCTGTCACCACTGGAAACACATTCCAGGCTTTATTCCCAGTTACATCTGTCATGTGCTGGATCAGGATAGGCACAGAGAAACCCAAGCTCTAGATGTTTATTTCTTTTAATCCAAAACTCTCCCCCCCATTGGGAGTGGACAGAGAGATTTTGGTCACCACCAGTGCTGGAGGGTCATGGCTTCATCCCAAACCCAACACTCAGAGGATGCTCAAGACCAATATTTAGCCACGTTTAAACTGTGTAACATAAGCAGAGGGGTCCAGACTGAGATTTGTAACCTAAAATGTGCTCAGTAAGTAAATTGGCTGTAGCAGGGTTAATATTTGTTGCAACAACTCAAAATGCCCTTTGAAGGCAGAGGCAGCACCATTGTTGCAATTCCCCATGTCCACCCCAGTGGGATTTTATTAACATGTGCCTCCTATTGATTCTGGGTCTCTTTCAGGCAAATAATGGATTGTTCTTTAGTGTTATTGCCTGAAATTATTAGCTCTTAAAGTACTCAAATTAGCATGATTTAAGCACCTGAAGTTGAATGGCAGCTTTACAGGCAGGTTTTTTTCCAGATGGGAATTCCTGTCCTGTGTTGGATAGTTATAGTTGGTGGAGCCAGTTAATGCTGGAGAAAGCATGATCACATTCTGTACAACAGAAAATATTAGAGATTTAGGGTGTTACAGTAAAAGTGGATGAAGTGAAATGAAATAGCAGCAGGAGTTGTGATTAAAAGTTAAACGTGTATCAGTAATCCTTGATTCCCAGATTACGCACTGAGAATCTGCTGGAAAACTTCACTTTATAGGAGAAAAAAACCAGACCCTGCAAAGTGTTTTGGGCAGTATTTCTAATACACTGTCAGCTTGTGTTCTTCCTGAAATGGCCTCAGCTCCTCCCTGCCTGAGGTTGCTGCTCTGTTTCCCACTTCGTGCACGGAGCTTTCCTGGTTTTAATTCCTAACTGAGGCTCTGGAGGCACTTTGTTGCTTCTGATCCTCAGGAAGTTGAAAATAGCACTTTTCTTCTAATCTGAGCTCCAAAATGCAGGTTTTTGTTACATTTGACTCTGCTTATAAAACCTTACATTTAAGAAACGACTTGGGGAGCGTCTGGGTGACTTTAAAACTGGGTGCCAAGGTAATTAAAAACAGAAATCAGAAGTATAAACTCAAATGTCATCATTTGCTTTTTGACTTTTAACTGTATTTGAGCTGAGTGTGCTGCTCATGGCAGACTCATTTCACTTGGGGTTGCTGGTGGAGTTGGCTCCAGTTTTAGCTCAGGGTTACTTGAGTTCCTTTGGGTGGAACTTGTACAACAGAGAATGGGCTGGGCTGGGTGAAAAAGCTCTGGGATTTGGAGAGGTTGGGAATTCACTCCCTGAACTGACTCCACTGGCCATTTTGTAGCTTCTTGGAGTATTTTGAGTCAGAGGGTGATGGGAAGTGGCTGCCACAATCCCTTCCCTGTCTGCATCCAGCACGTGGAGGAGCTGCCAGTTGTAAATCCCACAAAAAGGGCTTTTCCTCTCAGATTCATAATTTAATAAATAATAAAGCTGGGAGAGTCTGAGGGGGGCAGACAAGGCTTGCCTTGTGCCCAGAGGGCTGCACTGAGGTGCTGGTGGCCACTGGGGAATGTGGACCTGGGGATTTGTGCTGCAGCTCCTGCTGCTGGCACAGGTAACAAGTGATGGGACAAGAGGAAACGGCCTCAAGATGGGCCAGGGGAGGTTCAGATTGGATGTTATGGAAAATTTCTTTCTGGAAAGGATGGTCAGGCATTGGAACAGGCTGTCCAAGGCAGTGGTGGAGTCACCACCCCTGGAGGGATTTAAAAGCCACGTGGATGTGGCACTTGGGCACATGTTCAGTCATGAACATGGCAGTGCTGGGGGAATGGTTGGACTTGATGGTCTTGGAGGGCTTTTCCAACCCAAACAATTCCATGATTGTGTGATCTTGATGTCTCCAGGCTGCAGCTCCTCAGCTGAGCCCAGGGCCTGTGCTGAAGTTTGGAAGGTCAAATCCAACATCCATCCACAGGCAGATGGTTCCTGCTGCACTGCCTGTGCAGGCACCTCCTCCTCCCCCTCCCAGCCAGGCTCAGGTTATCCCACCAGCCCTCCTGGTGGCACCAGAAAGACTAAAATTGAGTAACAGGGGTATGAGAAGCTTAACTGAAGTGCAGAGCTTGATGACAACTTGTTGAACTCTCCTTTCTCTTCCTTTCTCCGTGACCTTCCGCGGGGCTCCGTGGACCCATCACAACATCCAGCCTTGGTCCAAACTAGGAAAAAAAATAGCTGGAAAAAAAATTCCCTGGGCTGAGCTTGGCATAGGTTTGTTTTCAGCGCTCTTACCCCAAGTTTCTAGCTCAGTGCAGTTTTTGGGGTCTGGAGGGAGCACTCACAGGCACTGGAAATACAGAGTGAATGGCAAATCATTAAAAAGGCAGTGGTGGGTGATCCCAGGGACTGGGCTCTGTTTGATCATTGATTTTTCTACTTGACAACCTCTCATCTGGGTGCCTTCAGCAGCCTCTGAACACGTGGGAAGAAAATGAAGAAGGTGATGATTAATAAACAGATATTGGGGCGTGTGTATTTAAGCAGTGACTGAAGGGAATGGCAGGGAATTGTGCAGGGGTGGGCAGGAGGTTAGAAGGGGATTTCCTTAAAATTAATGTTAATTCCTGTGGCACAAACAGCAGATGTATGTCTGCAGCAGTACAAAGGTGGAAAACCTGGTCAGCACAAGGATGCTGTGCATGGAACAGGTGACATCCAGCCTGGCATGTAGTGCCAAGGAGAAGGGTTATTCCATAAGGTGAGAGCTCATTGGCTGAAACCACGTCAGCAGTGCAGCCTCCAGATACACCACTGAAGTTATTTCCAGTTAAGGAGTTTTGGGAAGCACTGCAGAAACCCTGTCTGGAGCCTGTGTGCAGTTCTGCTTTTGGATTTGTCAGAGCTTCCTTGAGCAGGGAGGTGAAGGATGTGCTGGGCTGATGAGAGCTCATTAAACGAGCAGGCTGGAGGAGCCACTGAAGGGAATGTCAGAGGGGTTTGCTTCTGCTCCTCTGTGAGGGATCAGGGCAGCAACCCTGGGGGAAGTTAAAGACAACATTGCCCAGTAGTAATGACTCCAAGGTGATCCAAGAACTCCCTCCCTCTCTGACTTGGACAGGTAAGGGATGGGACATGACTCGAGGACACAACCCAGGTCTGCACTGGTTGCTGAACAACCACAATTTGACCATCATTAGACGTAGCAGGGCTTTATCTTTGAAGGCAGGAGTCAAGGAAGGGCTGGTGTAACACAGAGTTTCTCTTAGAAGCCTTGCTGTGGTTCACCCTGGTCCTGAGGGGGTCCTGTGTGTGCTCCACTCCAAATCCTGCACTTCCTAGAAGAAATAGAGTCCAGATCTGTCAGATTTTCATGTCCTGGTGTTCTCCTCTGCGGATCGTTAGCGTTACCTGGAGGTGTCTGTGCAGGGCACTTTGACTGTGCAAGATGGATTTTTTGGCAGATCAAGTCAGAATAGCAAAACATTTCTAAGCATGAATATTGCTGGCTGAGCTCTGGAGGGACAGGGACAAGGATGGAGCATAAACCAGTTTGCCAGCCAGGTGATAGTGGTTTAGAACAGTCAAACCCCCCCACGGCTCAGATGCTCAGTGCTCCAGTACCCAACTTCCTTGAGAATCCTGGTTTTATACTGCAAGTGGAGTAGCTGCAAGTCATTAAACTTTGTCAGACAGGTCTCAGCTTTGGTGCTTCCAAAAGCTTCTGATGGTCTTGTTTGGAATAACAGATCTGCTGTTCCTCTTGCTTGTCTGCCAGGGATGGAATTCTCCTTTTTTCTCCATCTCTGGAGCCGAGCCGGCTCTGTGCTGGTGTGGGCTGTGTAGGGGGCTCCTGAGAGGGTTTTTAACACAGTTTCCTTGTCAGAGATCCTCCTACTGCTGTGGAACAGCCCAGCACTGCCCTGGGGGTGTTCAGTGCTCGTGGGAGAGCAGGGCTGTGCCTCACACCCCCATTTCAGAGCACAAGTCCCATCCCTTCTGCTCCAGTGGGGAACAGCCCCAGCTCGTGTCCCGTGAGATGAAGCTTCCAGTGTGTCCCCCCAGCAGGACTCCCCTTGTGAGCCTTTAGGGACCAGTTGCCAGGGATGGAAATGATCAGCTTTCCATCCCCAGGGCGTTCCTGGTGCTGGGAGTTCTCCCTCAGGTTTCCCTCAGGTGGGAGCAGGTTCCGTAGGCACGGCAGGAACTCGAGGAGCAGGTTTAGGCTCATGTCTGGCTGGCACTGCTGGAGTCTCCCCATGGCTTTTCTTGTGCTGCCCTGTGGATGGAGCTGCTGTTGCCATGTCTTGCTTCAGCCTCCAGCCCATTTTCACTCTGCAGAAACACGACCCTGTGGGGGCTGTGGAATTTCCCACCACCTTGGTGAGACTTCTGCTGCCAACAGGTTGTAAATAATCATCAGTCAGCGATTTGCAGTGGAATGAGAAAGACTTTTGCACATTTTTTGTGGGTTTGGATATTAAAAAATTGCAGACTCTGGTGATTCTCACCATAAATTCAGCACCTGCCCCTGGTTCCTGTGACACTTGGGTAGTTTCCCCCATCTCACAGCCCCAGCGTGGCTGGAGCAGGACCGTGGCAGGGTGATGCTCTTCTGGTTTTCTTTCTGCACCTTCATTCCAAACTTTTCTCCCCAAACAGTTGCCTTCTCCTGGTTCAGGTCACAGTGTGCTGGGGACAGTTCTCCATCCAGATTAACAGGGCTGGACATAAAATCATTGAGCTCCTCTTAACAGTGTCTGGATTTCTGAGATGGAGTCATCCATGGCTTTCCTGGAGAAATCATTTGCTGTGGGGAACAGCTCAACTGTTATAAAGTCTTCAGCAGCACCAGAATGACCACTTTAAGCTCATTGTCATGGCAAAGATAGAGGCATCACAGCTTCCTTCCATCCTCCCTCATCCTTCCCAAACCCAAAGTGGATAATCCCAGCTCATTCCCTCATTCCTCAGTGGTCACCCCTCTCTTCTCTTCTCACCCCTCCTCACACAGTTGCTCCCAGACTGTTCCCATCACTGCACAGCAGCCAGCAGGGTTTGGTGTGGCATGTACTGGCCTAATTATTATCATTATTTTTTTTCTAAGCAGTTAAAATATGTGGCATTTCTTACCCTCCCAGTCTTGGTGCAGAAATGGAGAGAAATCCATGCTTGGAGCCAGGATTTCTGCTTTATCTGCTCCCTCTGTATCACTGGAAGAGACCAGACAGGAGAAATATTTGATGTTTTAGGAACAGAGCTAACACAAAGTCTTTCTGTAGTGTCACATCTCCTGCAGTCAGTCATGGTTTGCTTGGTTTTTTCCTTTTGTTTTTTAAACTTTTCCGGACAAGTTTTGTATGGAGGTGTAAAAGTTTCTGACCTTGTGGGATCCTGAGAGTCCTCAGTACCACTTTTCCTGGCAGTTGGTGCAAGGGGTGAGAGCAGGGCAGGAGGTGACTGGAATTGTGTGCATTAGGGTGCATGTTGATCCTGTTCCTTCCTGTTGATCTGTAAGCTGTTCCATTGGCTTTCTTTCTGTTTCCTGCTGCTTTCTTGCTTCGTTATTGAAGGGAGGATTCAGACCTATACAGGTAACTCCAACTCCTGGTTCTGCATGGCATAAGTGTCTCACCTGTACCATTCCTCCGTCAGTGAATGCATTTCTTACCTCCTGACTGCTGAGATTCCAAAGCCTCTCCAGAGCCAGGTGTTCCAGCCCCGCCAATGCTCCGTCCCGGCGTTCCGGTGCCTCTCCCGCGCCAGGGCCGAGGCCGGAGCGTGTGCCAGGGGCTTGCTTGGTTCCCTGGACCTGGTCCATCCACCTGGGGCATCACTTCATCCCAACGGGGTAGAAGAGTTTGGTGCCACCCTGGGACGAGTTGCCACCCTTTGGAAAACAGGGCAGGACGAGTCGCCCGGGTCAATGAGTGTAAAGGAAAGGCACGAGGTGCCTCTGTCCATTGTGAAATTCCAGCCTTTCAGCTCTTCTGGAGGTACATTGGAATAGTTACCTTGATCTTTTATTTCCCTGGAGTATTTACAAAGGTGGGTTTTTTAGCAGCCAACCCACCTTTTAAAAACAAAGGAGACAAACTCCTTTTTCCAACATTCGCTCTGAAAGTTGAGCTGTAAAATTTGATAGCTACAAAGTAATAATTATTAGTTTGTAACATTTCTTGCCTTTTTTTACCTTGTAAAATAGAAAACCCTGCTGTTCACAGATAAACCCAGACTGTCCTGCAGCTTTCTGAAGGCATGGCAACCCTTGGAAACTAGTCTTATAATTATAATATTGTATTTCTAATCCTTTCCCAGAAAGTCTGACCGGTTCTTTGTTTTCTCTCCTCTCTCCCTTCCCTATCCTAGTTTTTTCAGAGGCCTCAGATCCAGCCTCCAAGAGCCACCATCCAGAACAGCAGCCCCTCCATCCGTCCCGGAGCACAGACCCCGACTGCCGTGTACCAAACCAACCAGCACATCATGATGGTGAACCACCTGCCAATGCCCTACCCGATGCCTCAGGGCCCCCAGTACTGTATCCCACAGGTAAATCCATCAGCCAGGCACCTGAGGAGCTGCAGAGCCACCTCTGCTCCATCTGGGCTGTCTGAGGACATGCCAGGAGTCTGTGGAACCAAACTGGTAGTTCTGTATTTGGCCTCATGTGCCAAGGGGGGGGGGGTCTAGATTAGATATTAGGAAAAATTCCTTCATGGAAAGGGTGGGCAGGCACTGGAACAGGCTGTCCTGGGCAGTGGTGGAGTCACTGTCCCTGGAGGTGTTCAGGAAACATGTGGATGTGGCACTTGAGGACATGGTTTAGTGGTGGCCCTGGCAGTACCAAGGGAACGTTGGACTTGGTGGTTTAGAGGCCTTTTCCAACCTTAGTGGTTCCATGATTCTGTGATTCTGTGGTTCAACCTCTGTCCTTTCTCTGGATGAAGTATTTGTTCTGTGCATGGAAACTGTAGGAGTTAAAAACAATGGGAAACCAAGCTCTTGGAAAATATTTGTGCTTTAAATGTATCTAATTTGGCTTAATAGATCTACAGTCACTCTAAAACCTTGGGCCTCATTAAACAGTGTTAGTGAAATCAGGGAGGTGACTCTGTTCTACCTCAGCTCTTGAGTCCTCCCTGCCTTGTCTTTGCCTTAGCCCTGATTACTTTTCTGATAGTAACATTTGGGGAGGTTTACATTGGATATTGGGGAAAATTCCTTCATGGAAAGGGTGGTCAGGCATTGGAATGGGCTGCCCAGGGCAGTGGTGGAGTCACCAACCCTGGAAGTGTTCAAAAGCTGTGTGGATGTGGCACTTGGGGACATGTTTAAGGGGTGAATATGGTGAGGAGGGAATGGTTGGACTCGATGATCGTGGAGGGCTTTTCCAGCCTTAATGATTGCCTTTCTCTGTAATTACCTGGTTTGACAATCAGATCCCTGGTGGTTGGGGGGCTCCATTACAGGTTCTGTGTGCTCCTGTGTGAACTGATGGTGGTTTTTGTCCCCCCAGTATCGTCACAGTGGCCCCCCATACGTCGGGCCCCCCCAGCAATACCCTGTGCAGCCGCCGGGACCGGGACCCTTTTATCCAGGCCCAGGTCCTGGAGAGTTCCCCAATGCCTATGGTAAGTTCTGCTTGGAGACTTCTTGCAGAATCTTCCCTGGGTGTGTTTTTCTGTTGTCAAGCTGCAGATTTATAATAACAAGCTGGATTAGCATTTGTTTGAACTTCAAATAGATGCTAAATTTGGTGGTGTCACAGCCCTGATTATTCACTCCTGAAAAATCCCCACTCCCAGAGCATTGTTTGTGTGAGTGCCTCAAGAAAGGCTGCCCAGGATCACATGGGACCAGGAATGGTGGCTGTTTCTTAGTCCCTGCTCAATCATTGTTATTTATTAAGGTATTGTGGGTACATCTGGCAGCCCTGGTTTCCACTGAGCCGTGCCCTGGGTCTGCTCCCAGGAATACAGCAACTGACTTTCTTATCCCTGTGTTCCTTGTTCAGTGTTTACTGAGGGGTGAGAGCAAGCCATGGGGTTTGTTCCCTGGTTTTATGCTGCAAAGATCAGATTAGTGCAGTGGAAGAGTCTGTAGCTCCTGCACAGGCTGAAATTTGGCCCTTTCGGGGGCGACTCCTGGTGTTGCCTTTTCCAAAGCAAAAAGGTTGGGAGATTGTCATAGATATGATCATCATATGTACATGTGTTCAGGGTGTTTGACTGGATTGAAGCTGTGTCAGGGAGGGTCAGGTTGCATCTCAGGAAAAGGTTCTTCCCCCAGAGGCTGGTTGGGCACTGCCCAGGCTCCCCAGGGCAGTGGGCACAGCCCCAAGGCTGCCAGAGCTCCAGGAGGGTTTGGATGATCCTCTGGGACACAGGGGAGGATTGTTGGGGTGTCTGTGCAGGGCCAGGAGTTGGACTAGATGATCCTTGGGGGTGCCTTCCAGCTCAGGATATTCCATGATTCTGTGACTGTCCCAGGTCCTGAGGTTCAAAGCTTCAATTAAACATTCCAGGGCTGCATGTCCAGGGCTGGGGATCCTTTCTGTCCATGTCTTCTGGTCCTTGAGTCCTCCAGGGCCTCCCAGCTCCTCTCCCCTGGGTCCCAGTTTGCAAACCCAGTGGGTGACTGTCCTTCCCCACCTCTTCTCTTGGCAATCACCTCTTACAGAAAAGCAGTGAGGTCTTTTCTTAACAATTCCCAGCGTGTTGCTGTGTACAATCCCTGTCCTCCTGACATCACAGCCCCCTGGGAGGCTTTCCATGGGATCTGTGTTTGGATGGTTCAGTCAGACCAGCTCCTACAAGCTGTGTTTGAGATGCAGAATTAGGAGTCTTGCACTCATGTCCATCAGTTCTTCCCTTGCTCATTTATGGCAACATCTGAAAGGCCCCCAGGATGACTGCATTCATCACCCCTTCGTGTGGGTTGATTTTTGAAGGGTTTTCACCTCTCGATATCAATTTTGAGGTATTTTGTTCTCTCATTGCTACCTGCCCATCACATTCTGAGACCTGTTGGGGGCAGAGGTACTGTCAGCTTCCCATGGGCTGTAGTGTTGGAATTCCAGAGCCTTGGGGTGACTCATTCCCTTCCAGGCTGAACAGTGACAGCCCTGCACCCTTGGCAGAGCTGCAGATTTGCTCTTCACACACACAGATGCCTTTGGAAGGGGAGCAAAGCCCCACTTGCTTCCTTGTATATCATTTGGAAATCTTTTTTAGTATTTTCCTTCTTTCTGTTCTTTATTTGGTGTGTGTGGAGCTCATGGGACTATGCTGAAAGGTTGCTCTGAACCCTTCAAACATGGTTCTGCAATTTCAGAGTAGAAGGAGGGAGGGTAATTACGAGGCAGCTGCTTCCTGGTTGTTTATCCTAGAAAAAAACCAGAAGGAACATTGCAATGGTTCTTCAAACCTGATCCCTTAAATGAGGAAATTGCCCAGTATTCCTCATTTTTTTCTGCTGTTACAGCTCTGCTTTCCTACTTCCTGCTTAGACTTGCTTAGTCTTCACTCTTGTAATTAGGAAAAGGTTCCTTTCTGGCTGCTTTCCTCTCCTGGAAGCGCCTGTTTTCTTACACAGAAACTTGGAATCTTTCAGTCCCAGCTTGTTCTTAGGTGGCTGTGTCTGTGGAGCATCAGTGGGTGAAGCTGGAGCTCTCCATCCTGCAGAGTTTACCAGGCAGGGAAGGTTTAGCTGAGGAAGGGGATGATGCAGCTTTGCCTGTGCTCATCCATCTTTCCCTCCTGTTCCGTCCTTGCTATTTGGAGGGACTGGGAATGCTCAGTCTCTCACCAGGAGCTGCCAGGCTTGGGGAACAACTAAATCTACAATCCAGGCTGGATAAAGCTGCTGGCAGTGCCTTTTCCCATAAACCACAGGATTTGTAGCCAGTGTGGCTGCTGGATATCAAAATCATGGCAGGACCCGAAGAAGGTGATGAAAGCAAAACTTGTGAGGATGGACAGTGCATTTTTATAGCTCAGTTTTGCAATTTATCATTCTCTGATGTCAGGGAGTTTCCTACAGCGTTGGGAAAGACCTTGAAATGATCAGTGGGAAGGAGGGAAAATAAAACTTCGGTGCTGTAGAACTGGAAGTGATGAAATGGCAGGAGAGCAGAGAGTGTGGCACTGACACGGGCACTTGACTTGTTGCAATAGAAGCTGTTTCCTCCCAGAAGTTCACTCTTGCTTTGCAGGATTTGGGTTTTTTAAGTATTTTTCGTAAAGGAAGAGTCCTTCCCTGAGGAACTGCCTCTCTGTCAGGGATCACATTACAGGGGGTCTGTAGAAATGAAGGTAATTCCCACATTCCAGGGCTCCCAGGCTGGCTCCTGTCCCCTCACCTGGCCCCCTCTGCTTGGACACTGGGCAGCTCCACCAGAGTGTTACTGGGAAGAGTTTGAGGTTCATCACTGTTTTTAAGGAGAGATAGAGGAGAGTTCATAGAATCCCAGAATGGTTTGGGTTGGGAGGGACCTTAAAGCTCATCCCATTCCACCCCCTGCCACAGACACCTTCTGTAGCCCAGGTTGCTCCAAGCCCCGTCCATCCTGGCCTTGGACACTCCCAGGGATGGGGCAGCCACAGCTTCTCTGGGCAGCAGTTCTCGATTCCCAGGCTGGAGAGGTGCTGGTGGGCACTTCTGTGCCCTGAGGCCTGATCTGAGCTCCTGCTGCCCGACCCTGACACTCAAAATGAGGTGTCTTTTGAGTCACTGAGCCCAGCCCAGACTGAACACTTGGAGCACCTTGTACCACACAGGGCTCTGCGCTGGCAGGACAACGCTCCCCCTGGGAGGCTGCAGGCAGGGAGGCTGCAGGCAGGGAGCCTGCCCAGAGCTGGTGCTTTCAGCTCTCAGCTGGGGGAATCCATCCTTTGAAGTCTCAAATCAGACTGTGCAGGGCTGAGCTCTTTCTTGGGTTTCACCCTTTGCCTGAGATCGCAGTGACCCCTGGTTGGGTTACAGGCACAATCCAGGTTTCATTCCCATTTAAAGGTTAGTTCAGCTGAAGAATGATCAGGTATGAATAAATCAGATTGCTCCAGGGGCAAGTGCAAGCAGTCAGTCCATCCAATATCCATGCCTAGAAGGGAAAAGAACCCAGCAGCACCTCACACATTCCCCTGACAGCGGATCTGTGGGCAGAAGGCAGCTCTGCTCTGCCACCCTGATGTCTGGCACGTTTTTGAAGCACTCAGTTATTGAGCCAACATCATTCCATAAAGGAAACCATAATGAACCATATTGGCTGTTCCAGTGTGAGCAGCACCACAGTGAAATTCTGCACTAATCACCACGGTCGTGCTTGTCGTGAGCTGCAGCATGAGAAGAACATTGTTTGTAATTATATTTTCTGATTATGCTTCGAAACAGGCTTCAGTTGACCTTGCAAATTGTTTGTGTTGGTCTGACTGAATTTCTCTACGAAGGCAAAAAAAATGATAAAGCAGCAAGAAACTCACCTGTTTGTCAGTCAGGGGAGTCCAAGGATGGTCTTTTAGTGCCTTGGTGGTGTCCACAGGCCCTCGGGAATGGATGCACATGGCCACCTTTTTGCCATGGAAATTAAAAATTCTATAGTGAAATAATTAATTAAATAAATGTAATTAATTGGTTGAGGTTTAATAATTAAATGATTTTTAATAACTAAATAATTTTAATAATTAAATAAAAATTAATCTCTTGCCTTGATGAAGGAGCAGCTTCTGTTGAGTGAAGTGAGGGAGAGCAAACCCAGATCGTTGTTAGAAGTTCTGGGGTTTGGAGGAAGGGAGGAGCCCGTGGCCAGTTTTACCTCTTGTGCTTGGTTTTAGTTCATTAACAACCAGACTGAGCTTCTCCCTCTTGTTGCATCCCTGTTTCTCCCCAGGAACACCGTTCTACCCCAGCCAGCCCGTGTACCAGTCCGCGCCCATCATTGTGCCTACGCAGCAGCAGCAGCCACCACCCGCCAAGAGGGAGAAGAAAACGGTGAGTGATGGCCCTGAGGGACACATTCCTTGGGGGATTGGAAGGTGGAAGGAAATTAATACCCTTCTTAAGCTTAAAACTGAGCTTTATCTTCGCTGGAGGCCCTGGCACAGGTTGCCTGGAGAAGCTGTGGCTGCCCCATCCCTGGAAGTGTCCAAGTGTCCAAGGCTTGGGGCGGCCTGGGCTAGTAGAAGGTGTCCCTGCCCATGGAACAAGGTGAGCTTTAAGGTCTCTTCCAGCCCAAGCCATTCCAGGATACTACGATTCCCAGAGAGGTTACACCTTACCTGTCACAGCCAAGTGTCATCAAACATTGCACAGTGCTGAACTTGGGCCTTATTTTCCATTTTTCCACGGGGACCCTCTGCTCTGAGTTTGGGACATCTCAGCCAGTCAGAAAGGAAAAGATTTTTGCTGTTTTTTAAATAAACATCAGTGAAAGCAGCAGCATCTCCCTCAAAGCTTGGGATCCTCTCCTGCCTGTGCTGCTGCTGAGGGTATTCCCAAAGAGCCAGGTGGGAATGAGCAAACTCAGCTCAGCTTGGGAGAATGTTGGAAATTGGTTCAAAATGACAGAAAAAAAAATTATTGAATATTATGCCTTGGAAAAGGTAGAAAACCAGTAAGTTGTGGATGTATTTGCAGGCTCGGAAGAACCTGAGCACATTATGGAAGGGGTTTGGAGAGCACATTCCCACTCTTTCTAATTCACTGGTGGGAATTGGAGGGAGACAGATTAATGGAATTTAAACCCGTCTGCAGGTGGATGGTGGGGAACAGTAAAGGTACATAGGGAGAATGTAAGGTTTAAACAGAAGATGAGGGTGGACTTGAACTGGTGAATGAATAATTTGTAAAGTTTGAAAAGGAAATTACACCAGTCTGTGTGTGAGAGTGGTTTGGAAATGTTAAAAGAACTCTTTCCTGGAGGGGGGGAGGAAATATAAAAAGGGACATGGGCATGTCTCAAAATGCAGAATATTTGTATCTTTGGAGGTTTGAAGGTGATCTGAGGTGATTCAGGAGACTGGGAGAGCTGAGCTGGGCTCCCAGGAAAGGCCTTTTTTGGGGCTGCCCTCAGCACAGGGGCTGCAGCTCTGTAGTCACCTCTTCAGTCCCCAGGAGTCTCTTTTCAGCATCCCAAACACGACATGCCCAGATCCCTGATGCCATTGAAATGCAGAGCTGATCAGACACGCTCAGCTGGGATTAAGGCAGTTCTGTGCCAGCAAAGCCGAGTTCTTTGAGGCAGAAAAGGGATTTTAAATGCCCGAGATGCTTCTCTCTGAATGCACTATTTCAGTTTGCTAATTGGTGTTGCAACGGAAGAAATGAGGGAAATTAAAGAAAAATTAAATGTATTGGTGTACCCACCCCCACATCCACCATTAGGTGAGTATTTAAGTAACTTCCAGGCAGGGAAAGCTTGTTTTAGTGGCATTGACTCCATATCGGGGGAGGAGAGGGCAGGAATTTATGCCAACTCTCAAGTCCTTGTTGCTGTGGTTAATTAAATGTTTTAGCAGGAAAACCTCATCAAAAATAAGAGAAGCCAAACATCCTGAGTGCCATGTGTGCATTTGTGTCTTCATAACCCAGAGTGGAGCAGCCACCCCACGGTACTGAATGTGATGAACCACAAAACCCTTCTGCAGTTTGGTTTTATATCACGGAATCCCAGAAGGGTTTGGGCTGAAAGGGACCTTGAAACCCATCCAGTTCCAGCCCCTGCCATGGGGGGATTATGAAGAGCATGGTGGTTTCCAGAGGGAAGGGTTCTGGTGTCTCTTGGTTTGCTTGGAGTTGTTTGCTTGGATTTCTGCATGGAATTACTGAGAGTTCAGCCAAGAGCTGTGGAGAAGGTGGGCGGTCACAGCAGCTCTGGCTTCAGGTTTATCAGACTCTCCAATTCTTATTGAAGATGGAAAGCTCTGTTTCACATTATCCCAGACAGTTTGGCTCTTCCCCGTGTCCAGGGATGTGGATTGGCTCAAGTGTCATTGAGGGTTCAGTGAGTGTGTTCTGGAGTGGTTTATTTTGGAAAATATCTTTTCTTCCCATTTTGGGGCTGTGAAGAGACTCACAAAAACCCACTTGTTTCCTAAATGCTGCTGAGTTTTATAGGACTTTAGTTTGTTCTTGCAGTTTCCCTTTCCTCCTCTCAGTGTTTTTGTTTGATTCCCTCTGTTTTGGTGCAATGATTGATTTGTTTTTCCCCTTTCCCAGCAGCTGGGTTGGCAAAATCACAGAGTTTCACATTAGGGTAAAACACAGCCTTTGTTTTATTCTTGCCCTTTTCACTGCCTGGCAAGTTCAGCTCAGTACCTGAACTGTCCCCCAAATCCCCTAAGTTGCAGGAAACTCCCGTCCCAGCAGAGACCACATTTGGATTACAAGGGGCACGTATTTTAGCCCCACCTGCTGTGGTTGATGATTAAATTAGGTTTTGATTAATTGAGGTTTGGAGATGAAGGGATGACATGCCATGCATTTCAAGTTATGGAAAGAATCCCCATCCCAGTGCTCGTGCTGAGCCCCAGCTCAACCCAGCGCCGGGTGCTTGGGGTGCGCTGGGAGCGTGTCCTGCCCACGCTGCTCTCCAGGGGTCTTGTTTGAATCATTTCTGTGTTCAATCCCACAGATCCGAATCCGGGATCCAAACCAGGGAGGCAAAGACATAACAGAAGAAATCATGTCTGGAGGGGGCAGCAGGAACCCCACCCCCCCCATCGTCAGACCCACCTCCACCCCGACTCCGCCTCAGGTAGCGAAGGTTCCTCCTCCCGGGGCCTCTGCTCTGCTCTGCTTTGCTGTCAATCCCCAGCACCTGCATTCTCCTAAACTATCCATGTTCTTCAAGGATCGTTGTTTTTTCCCAAATTTGGTCGTTTTTACCACCTGCAGCTCGTCAGTGTGGAGCTGCAGTGCTGCTGCAATCCCCCCTCCCTTTGGATCAGCAGCAGATTTCAGAGCTTGTGAAGAGTTTCAGTGTTAAAGGAGGAGCCAGAATATCTGTGAGAAATGAGATGTTTTTCTATTAGTCCTGTGCACCTGGGGAAAGTCCATGTCACACATGTGATTGATTATACACCCTCAGTTGCATCTCTGTCCAAACTAAAGACTTTCTGCCTCAGTGGTGCTGGTTTGGAGTCACCAGAAGGAGCAGGACTTGGGAATTTTCTCAAAGAGCTGTGATAAATCTGTCACGTTTGGCCTCTCTGTGTTCAAACTTAAAAACTCATTTTTCTGATATGGGAAAAATCATAAATATCCCAAGCTGACGTTCTCCATAGCTCCTAAATCCCTTCTTGTCACAGACCTTTGAGTCTGACCCCTTCAAGTCTCTGCCTGGGGGCCTGAGCAGAAGCCATGAAGGTTCTCCAGGTGATGGGGGGGCTGTGGGTCAGAGCCTGGCTGGAGCTGGGGTGTGATTTCTTCTTCCATGTTCTTCCCTGTTGGATGTCACCAGCTTTTGCCAACTTTTTAGGTGAAACAGCCTATTTTGAGCTGAAACCTTCCTTTCCCCTCCACGTGTGAGTCGTTTCCTGCTGACTGTGCTGAGGCAGAGGCACGACCTTGCCTGGAGATTGTGCTGGGGTGGGAGCTTGAGATTCCAGGAAGGTGTAACTGGGACCACTGAGGTGCAGCAAGAGCCTGGCCTGCAGGTCTGCCCTCATGAGGCCAGTGGGATAGTTATGGATTTCAGTCATTCCCAGGCTCAGTCAAATCCTTTTGTCACCTGAAGGCACCACCTTGTGCTTTGTCACCTGCTTTCTCCTCCTCCATCGTGGGCAGCACCCATTAAACTTCCTTCCATAAGAGGAGGCACTGTAGGTGTCAAACATTGGAATCCCAGGAAGATCTTCTTCCCATTTCTTCCTGCTAAACGACTTTCCCCATTGGAAGTGGGCAGAGCTGGAACCAGCCAGGCTTCCCGTGGTGTTCCTGCCCGGTGCAGCGAATCCAGGCACTTCTTACATTCTGAAATTTATTTTAAGACACTACAATTAAGTCAACCAGAAGGAAATAAATGTGTTTCAAGAGGAGGTTAACAAGCCTGAATTTTGACGGGCTGTAATTTGTATGCAGAGCACAGCAGTGATGTCCAATCACCTCCTCCAAGGTATGCAAATACTCCTTTGTTTAATATCCAGCCTTCCTTCTGATGAGGTGCTTGGAACCACTCTTGGTAATCACAGAAGAGCTCTGAAATTGGGCTCCCTAGAAAAAGTTCATTAGTGTAACATAACTGAAAATTTAAGCCCACTTAAGCCAGGAAAATTCCAAGTTATTGTCCCAACAGCTTCTCTAAATCAAGTCTTGGGAGCACGTTTAATATCTTGGATGAAATTAAATAGAGCCTTAATAACTGTGCTCAGGGGCTGAATTGCAGCAGTGTGGGTGTTCCTGTTTTGAACAGGCTCAAATCAGGGAATTTTCAGTACTCAGCCATAACTACAGAGATGCTCATGGTTTATGGGCAGCTCCTGGAAGAGCTGCTGTGGTTTGTTCCACCCCCTGCCCCTGAGGGGCTTGGTGGGATTGCATCTGGTTGAACCCTCAGGATGTGAATGTACAACCTCAGGGCTTGGCAAGGCATCCCCTCCTCATCTAATCAACGTGACTCCCAGTCCAGTGAGATTTTAGAATGACACTAAATTCTAATAAAGCTTCTTTATGTGATCCTGGAATCACATTCCTATTTAAATGTTCCAAGCACAGGGGAAGAAACTTCCTCAAGAAGTGCAGGAAGGCACTGCTGTAGACCACTCCCTGTCCCCTGTATTTGTAAAAGAAACGCTTTTATAATAAAAATAGGTTTCCAAATGTTCCATATTCCATTTAAATTCAAATTATTTTTTGATTTTTTAAACTCAAAACTTTTTTTTTTGACTTCAGTAAAACCTGAAGCTTCACTAACACAAGCCTGAAGCACCTTCTTCTCTCAATAGATTAAGTGCTGAATAGCAAAAAATTCTTGGAATTGTCCAGAAAATGAGCTTTGCTGCCAAGATGAGCCCTGTGCTTTGAGCCATTTCTGTGCTTTTTGCAGCTCCTGCTCCGTGTTCAGCATCACTGACTGAGAAGTGCTTTAGATGGAGTTTCCCAGTGCTCCAACAGTGGGTTTTAATTACTTTTTAGCAATGAAAGTGCTTTAAAGTTCCTGCAAAAGAAGCTGGAGGGCCGTGGAGATATTATCTGTCCATTTCTAGCTGAACACTTACTTTCCACACTGTGTTTTTTGCTGGGAAAGTGAAGAAAACCCAGGACCAGGATCTGATTATAGTGTTTCCTCAGCACTGACTTCCACAGAAAATCACTTTTTAAAGAGTAAATGCTCTTACTTTCCTGGCAAACCTTTCCCAGGTCTCAATGAGTTTGTCAGACCTTGTGTTTGCTGGGTCTCTGGTGGGGTGGAAGAACCCAGAGCCAACCCTTGGAGCCTCATAAATCACAGAGTGATTTTCAATGGGACTTTTTCCTAGAAAGTCTCTAAATGCTCCATTTTGCAGCTGCAAGGCTCAGTGCAGAAGCACCACTTATTCATTTGCACGACCATTCCCACAAAATAGATGAGTGTTTCCCACATTTCTTAAGGAAATACAGTTCCTGACCCACAAAGTTTCTGGGCTCACAGTTTCTTCTTCACTGGTCTGCTTTCATTCATGGGGTTCTTGTCACCTTTTCCTTTTCCCCATGGATTTCATCCATACATTTCCTATAAAATGAAAGTCCTGATCTGCTGAGGGCAAGGGGGAAAATGTTCTTTGAACCTGCTCCTTTGTAAAGCTGGGTTTTCCTTGGCCCCTTTCCTTCAGCTGGAGGTTGGGCTGCAGTTCTTCATCCATTCTCCAGCTGACCGATCAGGCTCGTTCCTGGAAGAGGAGCAATCCCAAAGAAAACTTCAACCCTTCACCCCTATTGAGATTTTGGTTCTTATTTTTCCAGATGTGCTTTTTCCCAATCCCCCTGAAATGGTAAAAATCAGTGCCTTGAAGATAATTCCATTGTTACCCTGCTCTGTGGAGGTGAAACAGCTGGAACAGCTGGAAATGGGAGGGAAAAAGAAGAGAAGCAGGTTGACAGAGAGTTTCTTTGCATAGGGAAATAAGTTTTTCTTGGATTTCTGAGAGCCTGTGTGAAAGCAGGAATTAGACACCCATGTCTTGAGCATTCTGATGGGTTTGGATTGTTTAAAAAATCCCTTTTCTTGTCGATGTTAGAGGAGTTTTTGGGTGCGGAGCTGGGTGAGAGCTGACACCTGCAGGGAGCTGCCTGGCTTTCTACCTGGGATTAGGAAATTGAGATTTAGCCCCATTTTCTTCTTTTCCTGGTCCCTGGTGTGTAATTAAGGGGATTTTGTAGCTACCTTGCCCTGTTTGTGTTCACTCAAACAAGTGTCTCACCTTTGAAGTTGAGGGAGTTGGGGCAGTTACTTAATCTTCCTTAAATTCTGAGATTAAATAAAAAGGATTTTACCAAACCTTCATGAACACAAGTGAAGTGTTTGCCCATTAATGATGGGAGTTAATTAAAATATGTGTTCTCTGCCACAGGCTGGGGCTCCTTCAGTCTTTCTTCATACTTTGCTGGTCCTGCAGCTTTTTTTCTTCCACACAGACAATCTCAGGCTCTCTCCATGTTGTTTGGGAATCAGCTCCTCCTGCTCTGCCTTAAATTGCTGCCCAGTTGGTTTTATTCTCATGTTGCCCTGCAGGTCCCACCCCCAAGGCTGGTTGTGGGTGATTTTTTCATACAACCACCCCAAAACTGGGCGATTTTCCTGCTGATGAGTGATGTGTGTGCAGGGAGAGACATCTGTCCACTGTTCATACACTCCTACACACATCACCAGTGGATAAATACAGAGAAAAGGAAATAAATAGACATGAAATCTCTGAGGTGGCTGAAATAAATGATCAGTTGAGGAAGGAGTCAAGTCCCAAAAGGGAACGTAAAAACATGGAGGAAAATTCCTGCTGCCCCTGGAAACTTAAATCACAGAGATCCAGGAGCCTTGGTGTGTGTCCTACATGGAGGGACATTCCTGCTGCCCCTGGAAACTTAAATCACAGAGATCCAGGAGCCTTGGTGTGTGTCCTACATGGAGGAACATTCCTGCTGCCCCTGGAAACTTAAATCACAGAGATTCAGGAGCCTTGGTGTGTGTCCTACATGGAGGGACATTCCTGCTGCCCCTGGAAGAAACGTTGGGAGAACCAAGTGTGTTGACAGCTGTGCTGTGCTGTCTCTTCCTTGCTGTTCTTTTTCCCCTCTCCCTTCTGCCTTTCCTTCCCCTTCCCATGTACTTTTTGAACGTATCCAACCAACCTGTGCATCTTTCCTCTTTATTTTTGCTGCCTTTGGTTTTTCCTCTTTATCCCCCCCTCTCCCACCTCCCCACTTGCCTGTTGCTCCGTGTTTTCCTGTTCCCAGGCTCATTCTCACCCCTTTGTCCTTCCCCCCCAGCAGGTGCCCAGCCAGGTCCCCGAGCCCAGCCCTGCAGGATTTGGGGCCGTGGAGACCCCCCACCTCTCTGCCAGCACCCCCAGCACTGCGGCCACCGCCCCCAAGCAAGGTTGGTTCGGGGAGGTTTCCTCCCTGATTATTTTTAGTCGCTTATTTTTCCCCTCCTTTCTTGTTTTAGTTTGAAGGTTTCTGGCAGGGAGACAAGCAGGGAGCAGAAATAGGAGGGGAGGGACTTCTCTCTCTCTCCAGTGGAACATCTGAAGTGTGTTGCTAAGGGGATTAATTGGAATTTGCTAATGTTAAAAATAATTGTCTTTGAGCTTCTATGTCCTAAACGTTGTTTTAAAGTACGTAGAAGGGTGAAACTCCTCTCACCCCTGTGCCATCCTCCAGAAAACACTGTGTTTTCAGTGAAATGCTTTAGCCAGAGAGGCTTTGGATCAATTTGGATAATCAGCCATAGCAATGGCACAGAACCAGAGGATCATGTGGCTCCCCCAGAGCCGCTCGTGTGTCTGTCCTGAAGGAGTGGGCAATTTTAATTAAAAAAAAATAAAAATTAATGTGCAAAGTGGCTCATAAAGCCCAGAGCAAATTTTGCTGACTTTGGTAAAAATGGCACAGATGGAAAAAGTTTCTTAAAAAGCATCCCTTGGCCAGTGCTCTCAGGAACAGGGTGGGATTTTGGGATCTCTTGTGCAGGGCCAGTAGTTGGACCTGGTGATCCTGGTGGGTCCCTTCCAGCCCAGGATATTCTGGGATATACATTGGAAGGGAGATATTTTTAAACTGTTCAGAGGAGTGTCCCAGGAGAGCTGATGGACATTCCAGGGCTCTTCCCACACTGGAATTTCGTAGCCATTCAAAGCTTAATTCCTGATGTGTGTCCAGCTTCCTGTCAGTGGGCTGGGTGTTGGGATATGGAGCTGTCACCACTGCTTGCTTCCTGGTTATCCAGGGTGTCACAGCCTCCAAGGGTTCCACCTGCAGCCACCTGTGCAGGGAAGTTGGGAAGTTCCATCTTCTCCTCCTGAGTGTTGCCTTTAAACTTTGAGCCTGCTGAGACCTTTTATTTCAGAGTATTTAGAATCATGGAATCGCTTAGGTTGGAAAAGTCCTCCAAGATCATCAAATCCAACCATTCCCTGCCATGTTCATCCCTAACCCACGTCCCCAAGTGCCACATCCACAAGGTTTCTGAACACCTCCAGAGATGGTGATTCTGCTCTGGGCAGCCCCTTCCAGTGCCTGACCACCCTTTCCATGAAGGAATTTCCCCTGATATCCAATCCAAACCTCCCCTGGCACATCTTGAGGCCATTTCCTCTTGTCCTATCACTTGTCACCTGGGAGAGAAGAACTAAAGCCCCACAGCAGCACAGCTCTAGGAAAAAAAGGGAGGTAGCCAAGCTCTGTGATGTCCCTCGATCCCAACTGCAGCAGGTCACTGCTGGGGGGCCAAGGGCAGCATCCCTGGGGTGATGTGGCTCAGAATCAAACACTGACTGCAGATGTTGCTCCTTTATGGCCCCAGTGAGACATCTCTGAACTGCTGCAGTGTCTAGAAATGGGTTGGAAGAAGCTGAGAAAGGACCTTTGGGAGATGGTCTGGTCCCATCTCCCCTGGAAGTGGGGCTGTGGCTCTGTCTGGATCTTGGTGCAAACCTTCACTGTCCCTGTCACCTGAGGGGGTGGGTGGGTTTGGTGTCCCTCAGATCCACTGTGGCTGTGCTGGCTCAGCTCACAGGCTGCTGCTGCTGCTGCCCAGCTCTGGCACAGCTGCTCTCCCGGCCCACGTCCCCTCTGCCGACATTCCCAAGTCCCTCTGGCTGCCAGGGACATCCTCTGAGTGCTCCACGGAGCTGGTGGCACTGCTGAACACGATGCAGGCACTGAAATGCCCTCTGGAGAGAACTGATGCTGAGCTGTAAAGCCACAGAATTCCAGAACATCCCCAGCTGGAGGGACCCATAAGGATCCTCAAGTCCAACTCCCTGCTCCTCACAGGACCACCTACTACTAAACCAGGACCAGGAGCTCCTTGAACTCTTTATCTCTTAAAATCCAGCACTTTCCATCACAGTATTTCACCTCTGTGTTAGAAAACATGGATCTCCAGGAACAAACAGGTCTTCTCCCTCTTCTCTCTCTGTAACTTAATCCCTTCTTAGGCAAGAGTTGGACTCGATGATCCTTGTAGGTCCCTTCCAACTCAGAATATTCTGTGATTCTGTGGACTGTGAGCAAACTGGAACTAAGTGTTTATTTAGTTACAGAGCTCTGACAGTGCTGGTTTAAATATAGATCAGGACTTGACTGGGGTTTAACACTGCCAAGCTTTCCTGTGTTTATCTCTGTTCCATCCCAGAAAGAGTCAAACATTTGTTCCAGTCCAAAAATTGCTAAAGAGCACATTTATGTAAGCACTGCAGGGAGAGCCCTGGAATAACACCCAGAGCATTGGGCCAGGGCCTGGGGGGGCAGAGCAGTGCTGGGTTGGTGTCAGTCATAGACATTAATTAATAGACACCATTAATATTATTTGAACTGAGCTGGTGACTTGAGGGCAGCACAGCTGTCCAGAAACACATGCCAAGGTATCAAAATGATTTTTCACTTTGGTGTTGAGCTGGTTTTGCTTCCCAAATCTAACCAGTGATATGGATAGATGTGTGACTGAAGTGTTTATTAAAACCAGCACTGTTGTTTCCCTGAAGTCCCCTCTGCTGTGGATCAGATTCCCCCCTGTGCCCTTCACCTCCTGCACTCCTTCACCTCCGCTGGAGTTTGGTGTCAAGGTTTCACCTCCTGCACTCCTTCACCTCCGCTGGAGTTTGGTGTCAAGGTTTCACTCTGATTTTGTGGTACCCTGGGGTGGTTGTGCACTTGTTGGTAACAGTGAGCAGCATTTGGCCCCTTCCCACGGGCTCGTACCGGGCGTGGAGCCGCGTCCTGTGCCGGCAGACCCGGCCTGTGCCACCCCTCCCTGCCAGGATCTGCTGCTGGCTTGGTGCTGAAGTCATTCCCAAGGCTGGATTTGGCATTGCATTGCGTTTTTCTTTAAAAGACAAGCATTTGGCATTTCACAGGATCCCAGAATGGTTTGGGTTGGAGGGACCTTAAAGTTCATCCCGTTCCAGCTCGCTTCCATGAGCAGGGACACGTTCCACTGGACCAGGTGTAGGAATTACTGCTGTAATACCTTGAAAAATCACATTATTTAGGGGCAAGCTGTTCCTATAGATGCCCCTGGTGTGAATATACCAGCCAGGCTGCTGGAGGCAGGGATACTGCTGGAGAATCCAGGTCAAGCCAAAGGCTGGGCATGTGGAACCTGGCTGCAGGCCAGGCTGTGCAGGAATTGCAGTGGGATAGAACTGCATGGGATCAGAGCTGCCCACTTTCACTGCACTTGCACAGTTTCGGGGGGTGTTTGGAGTATTATCCTCGTTTTAAACCTCTTTCCAAACCCTGCAATGTATCAGAATGTACAACAGGGTTTGTGGAAAACAGACCAATGTCCCATCCCGGAGTTTGGGAAGCTCCAAAGCCCCTCTGCTGACACTGGTGCTGCCTCCTGAGGGTTTGCATCGGGACAAAAGATGGAAAAATGGCAGCGAGCCCAACAGTTATTGTCAGATCAACACCACAGAGCAGAGAGGAATCCCTGTATCCAGTAAAATCTTCCTCATCCCCAGCTCTGGGCAGTCTGTGCCACCGGGACCAGCCAGCAGCCCAGTCCTGGCTTTTCCAGGGGGAGGCAGCAGGGTCTGTCTGCTGAGTGTGTGAAAGGACCCTCAAGGAATAATTCTGCAAAATTTATATTAATGTGGAGATTTTAAAAAAAAATCTCTTGATCTTTCCTCCTGCACAGCCTGGAGCTCCCATAAATACTGTCTAAGTATAACATGAGGAAGGACCTCAGCATGTTTAGGAAGAGGGATCTGATCCAGCCGGGATGAATCGCGTTGATTTGTGTTTTCCCTCCCCAGTTGTGTCACTTCACGTGACTCTGTCACCCTTGGCAGGGATGGGTGATCCTTTTCCAGCACTTGGAAGTTTGTTCTCCAGGATGGGGGTTCAAGTTCAGATTTGCTTCTCATTAGCCAAATCTGTTCCTTTGTTCTCTGAAATCCCCCCTCCTCAAATCACTTTTCTGATGGAGTGTTGCACACACAGCCTGGAGCTGTGGCCAGAGAAGGTGTGGTTTGAAGGCAGTGAGTTAAACCACTGGTGTCAAACCCAGCTGTGCATTTTTGCTGAGTTTTATCTCTCAGAATGTTTTTCTAGACACTTCAAATGCTTTTTTTTTTGGAGCATTCTCATTTGACTCGGGGAGAGAATATCCAGGCAGTTGTTAATAGCAAGCTGTGAATGCCAGGAATGCTCCCTGAGTTCCTGCAAAGGACCTTGCAGAAAGCAGAGGTGACAAGTTTTCTTTTCTCAACCAGTTCCTGGGTCCTTTTTCTTCTGTGGAGCCTCCAGAACCAAACTCAGCTGTTGGGACACTCTCTCCCATCTCTTTCCTCCTCCCAAGCCCTCTCCCTGGGTGCCTCATTAAATTGCTAAACTACTGCTTTGGCCCTGGTCCTCTGTAGTGCTGCTGACAGCTGGAAGAAGAACTTGTTATTGCTCCAGCTATTCCTAAAGGTGGGACTCGATGCTCCAGGCAGTTTCAGATGGGTTCTCCTTCAAAAACCCTTTGGTTCTTCTTCAAAAATCCTTTTGTTTGCCTTCAAAAACCCTTTCCCTGCAGCTGAGTTGTTGAATAAGCCCCAAATGGAAATCCAGCAGAGCTGAAGAGCCCAAGAAAAGCAAAACCTCTTCAGTTCTGCCTGAATTTGGATGATTTAGGGTCAGTTGTGGCCTTTGATTTCTTAATCTGAAGAGCAGGGTTTGTGCCTCTGGCTTTTCCAGAATTATTTCTGCTGGTGTGACAGTGGCCTGAAGGAGTTTAGTGTTCCTGCAGGATCCTAAAAGATTTGTGGCAAAGGAGTGGGAAGCAGCCCAGAGCTGCAGCAGAGCTGTGGGAGCTGTGTGATGGGCACGGCAGGGCCGGTGTCGCCGCTCTGATCACAGCGGCAGGTCAGGGCTCGGTGTTATTCTCTGGGCACAATATTTTGGGGTTTGCTTTGATACATTTCTTCCTAACCTCTCGTGTAATCAGTTTAACCCATTCCCCTTTGTCCTGCCACTCTCTGTCCCTGTAAAAAGTCGCTCTCCCTCTCTTTTATAAGCCCCCTTTAGGCACGGGAAGGCCACAGTGAGTCTCCCCAGATTCTTCTCTTCTCAGGATAGCAGGGGTTGCGTTTTCAGCTTTTCTGTCTGGACTTTTCCTTTAGATGCCAGATGAGCTGCAGGTGCCTCTGGTGTCTCCTGGAGCTTCCTGGCAGAGAGCAGGAATGGGAACCGAGGGGGTTCAGGCACCGAGCTGGAACATGGGGTTGCCTTGCTCTTTGTAACATTGCCTTTTTATTCTCCTTTCCCAGAAGAGAAGCCAAAACCAGATCCAGTATTAAAACCACCTTCTCCAGTCCTCAGACCAGAGCCTGCTGGGGAGAAGAAAGATCAAGCTGGCCAGACCACAGAGGCCTCTGCCCCCGTGGAGACCCCCCCAGAACTTCCTCCTGCTCC